TATATATGTATATATGGCAAAAACAGCAAAACACAAAATGTCCATGCCAAATACTGGCATTAGTAATACTTTTGTGCATAAGTTCAACAAGGAGTGGAGCTTGCACACACAATGGTAGATTTCTTACAAAAAAAATTCATTTAGAGATCAGTAAATAAAATTAGAAAAGAATTAGGTCAACTATTGTCTGTTATGACAGATTTTTTTGCACCTTTTTGGCCTCTAAATAAATTATTGTTCATAAGAAATCTAAAATATGACTGCCAAATATGACTTCTTGACAGGTTTCATTAAATTCAAATTCAATTTAATTGCATTAATAAAAAGGCATTTTGACCAGAAAAATGTACAGTTAAATTCAGTTAAATAATGTCTTCAGCAGATAAACAAAATGTACAATTCCTCAACAAACTACACAGATTTCTGTTTCCTTTGTAAGCAGAAATATGAAGCTGTTATTTGGCCTCTTGCATCACTGAAGAGAGTATGTGACAGCTGCAGGGAAGTAGCTGTTATTGATCTGTTGTTATTAGAGAGGCTGCATTTTCGGAAACATCTCACTGCCTCTGTTGGTTGGACTGCCTTTGTGAAACAAGCTTATGCAAATGTTTGATAAGCAAGTATGGATTTTTGTAGATCATGTGACGATCCGCCCCACGAATCTGAATGTGATTGGCATTGGGATAAGAGCGCTCCAAAAACTTCCTCTGAAGTTCAGCAACCACCTGACATAGAGAGATGACAGTTAATGAGACATTCAGCAAAGGATTTGCCTCTGATTAAAACTAACTAAAGTTCAGAAGTGAAGGCAGAAAGTGGGACTGTGAAAGACACTCACTTGGTTGAGATCTGAAGGAAGCTGATCATCAAAGGATTCCCCAGTGATCACATGCACAGATGTCTTGCTAGAGAGAGGCTTATATCTGGAGATCTCCTGAAAAAGTCAAGGACATTCAAACAGCAGCGTAAATGAAGGCAATTCACACTAGAGATTCTTCCCACTGGTCGCGCTGGTCACCTTTTTTTGAATTAATTAATTCCAATATTTACTATCTATCTATCTATCAGGCTTTCTGCGGTAATCTGTGTTACTGGTATTACCCGGTGTTTGGCCATACACCGAATACATTACTTGCCAGTGGCGGCTGGTGGAAACCAGACGCTGATTGGACTATATATCCAGAGGCAGAAGAGTCTAGAACAGTGACGGCAGTAGTTGAATGTGATAGAAAAAAATCCCTCCCTTTCACACTTTGGTTGTGCATCGCCCTATCGCCCGCCTAATGGAGAAACTGTCGTTTTGCTTTTTAAAATAAGTAAAAATTTAGTTCAGTTGGACAACAGATGCTACAGTTGTAAACTGAAAGCGTGTGCTCTGCTCCATACAGCGCGCCCTGCAGAGCCGCAGCAGTGAAGCAGGAGTCGGATTTCACTCATCACCTGGGGCCGGTTGCATAAACTGCTTAGACAAAGTTAATCATCTAATTTCTTTTCTTCAAGGCTGGTCATAACCTTTAGATTGATCTAATGTGAATCCAAAAAGTAAGACTGATTACCCCCTGGCTAACTGCTGGTTGGTCAAACTAAGTTTGTAAGTCACAGTCTTAACATAGTTTTTATCTTTATGCTACTGGCCCCTGAAGAGAGTGAGAGAGGCACTTCAGTGCGAGTGGCAAAAATGACAAGGAAACGATGGCGGATGGAGGATTTGGTTTTCAAGCAAAATGTAAAAGTAAATTAAAAGACCGCTTCTTAGACCAGAGAAGGTGAACATGTTGGTTTTTGTCAATAAATGTTATATGTGCTAGTTTATCATTGTACTGTTTTATTGATGTTGTGCATTTCATTAAGAATAATAAAGAATCCATCTATCAAGCATTCGTTTTAGTCTTAAAAAGTGAAAGGTGCATAGATGTAAGAGCAACAGACAATTATATTTTCTTGTAAAACGTGACACCAAGATTGTGAAATCGAAAGTGAAAGCATCCAAGTAGTGCCTTTTCTTTCTCCTTTGCTCACTCGGTTCCTCCCTGTCCGCACCTGTGCTCTCGTCATCTCGACTTAATTCCTACATTTCCTTAAGTCATAATTTGCACGTTTCATCATCAGTGCACCATGCATGTGTACGTGGACAATAATGCAAGTACAGCTGCGCAGACACCGACTGAGTGCGTGACGACGCTCTCGCACAAATGCGACCGTCAAAATTGAACTCGTACATTCTCAAAACATGGTCGTACTCTAGAGCTCTATAATATTTTTTATACTTTCAAAAATCCTTAAATGATAATTGAAAATCAGTTCTGCATATTGGTTATCAGAAATGTAAACACAATTTATAATAATAATATTATTAATAATAATAAATTGTTATTGTTGCGGTCCAATTTTTATTTTTATATTTCCTGTTTTGATTTTAATTTTCGTTAGTTTTACATCTATATTTTTGTCAATTTTTATTAGTTTTTTGGTTCTTATATATTTAATTTTAATTTTATTTTTTAATACATTTTAGTACATCAATATTAACTAAACGAAAATGAGAAATGCTGCCTTGGCAACTAGTTGAAATAAAACAAGTTTTCGATTTTATTTTATTTTAAAAGTTTATTTCATTTCAAGTAATACATTTAATTAATAGTAATAGATTTAACTAACTATAATAACCCTGTGCAATGCCTTTGCAATGCATATTATATAGAGTGGTTTTAAAAACACTTAAATCACACATAAAAAATATTCAGTTCTTATTGCATTACATTACAAACTAAAAATTACTGCAATAAATTTTAATTCACGCAGGTGTCCTATCAGAGTAATTACAGGTGTAAATCATCACAATAACTATATATGAACATATATTTCACTAATGAAAGTGTCCAATCCTAATTTTGAACAGTATATATTTTTTTTTTAACAAATTTATGTTTTTTGGTGCCACTAAGTACAGACATTTATCAAACTATTCACAGTTTTACATCTATATTTTTGTCAATTTTTATTAGTTTTTTGGTTCTTATATATTTAATTTTAATTTTATTTTTTAATACATTTTAGTACATCAATATTAACTAAACGAAAATGAGAAATGCTGCCTTGGCAACTAGTTGAAATAAAACAAGTTTTCGATTTTATTTTATTTTAAAAGTTTATTTCATTTCAAGTAATACATTTAATTAATAGTAATAGATTTAACTAACTATAATAACCCTGTGCAATGCCTTTGCAATGCATATTATATAGAGTGGTTTTAAAAACACTTAAATCACACATAAAAAATATTCAGTTCTTATTGCATTACATTACAAACTAAAAATTACTGCAATAAATTTTAATTCACGCAGGTGTCCTATCAGAGTAATTACAGGTGTAAATCATCACAATAACTATATATGAACATATATTTCACTAATAAAAGTGTCCAATCCTAATTTTGAACAGTATTTTTTTTTTTTTAACAAATTTATGTTTTTTGGTGCCACTAAGTACAGACATTTATCAAACTATTCATTGAAGGTAAAGTCTTACCTCACTAGAGATGCGTTCTCGTTGAGAAAGAAATGCTAGTCTACTGCAGCGCTCTGATGGGCAGGGTTACACAGCAGATATTTCTGACATGAGAATCAAAATAAGCATTGATTTCTATATTGATTTCTTCTTCACTTAATAGCTGAGACAAATGTATTTAGATAGACATATATTACTGTACTGTATATGCCACGACAGCGGTCAAGAGACGTGAGTTGTTCCAATGTTTCATTTTCACTCTTTGGTCATTGTAATATACACTCGGTGACCTCAGACAGACACACTTGAAAGTGTCAAGTCAACACTTGAGTCAACAGCACGAGGGGAGCAGATCCTCTCATGAAGAACAATCCGTCATTCTGAGAGACAGCGCGGTCAAATTAAATGTCAACAGGCATTTCAAGAGCCGCGATTCCTCTCAGTTAAACATGAAAGCACTATGTAGCCGCTAATTGCTATTTGATTGTCTGTGTTCTTATGCAAAGAAGTCCTATGTGAATGCACTGCCAGCACCTTTTCCTTTATTTCTTTAAATCATGTGATTTTTAGTTTGAACATGCATTGACCAGTCACTAAGAGCAATAGCAACAGACTTAATATCAGGCCTGAAATACTTGATATGCATGATGTGATGTTGACATGGTCTGCAGCATGACATACTATACTGCATTTTGCAATTTTTAGAATTATGCATGCAACTAAATTAGTTAAGAGATAGAATATTTGTGCTTTTAATAAAATGTGTCACTCCATAGCTTCATTGAAATTAATTTAGTGAAAGCAAAAAGGTGTTTAAAATAGTGGGAAAATTTTAAAGACCATTCTATATATTGTAAATAAAACAAAAGTCCACAAAGTCAGTATAGGTTATACACTACCATTCAAGAGCTTTGCATCACAGGAATAAAATACATTTGAAAATATATTAAAATACAAAAAAGCTATTTTACTGTTGTTACTGTATTTTTGATCAAATAAATTTAGTCTTGATGAGCATAAGAGACTTCTTTTGATGCCAACCTTTTGAACAGTAATCATGTTTGCATTGCAGTTTCCAAATGTAGCACATATACAGAGTTCTGGCATGAAACTCTAGATGGCGCAGTCCGATAGGTCTAGCTCAATCTGTCCTGGTGACATTATTGTCACATGGCAGCTGATTGGTTCTCTCCTGTATCGGTAGCCAATGAGCTTACTGCTCAATATTCAAATACCTGGCTTTTGTTTGCTGTAGAAGTATTGCAGTGCACTTCAGAAACCCTCCACCTTCCCCAGCTCCACCTGTATAGATCTGCTACGGGGTGATTCCTGTATGCTATATGGGGTTATTCATATGTGTTATGTGCAGCAGCAGTATTTCTTACATGCTCACAGCAGCATGTATTGGCAGTAGCAAGTCTTGGTACTTGCTCTGCCACAGCAGCAGCAGCGTAGCAGATCTATTCCACCAAGGCCAAATACATTAACATTGTCATGTACATTACCATGCCAATCCCTCCGAGAGTCGTCATGACAGAAATATAGTTCACTGAACATGCATCTGTGGTTGCAACTATAACCTGAGGTTCATTTATACGTTTATAATAACTGTAGACTAAAACAGTTGCATGCCATGGATGCATTTTGCTTCAAGCAGCCTACTGCATTTACACCAACAACACAAGCAAAGTTGTTTTTGACTCTAGCAAACACCCAGATATTTTAAAGCTCGTTAATTTTGTGTTGTTTTGTTGAAATCTAACATTACAAAGAAACATATTGCTTTCGTTTTATGCTTCTACTCTTTCCCAGACAAATGAGACAGAGGTCTTAAAAACACTGTGTCTGTTTTTATGCAGATAGAGAGGAAGGATGGGCATGTATGAAAAACACACCTAGTCATCACCACCTTCCTGTTGTGCATTAATTATTTCAACCTCCTTATAAAGGCGAAACATTCCTCTAAATCACCTCTTCCATTCCTCAGGTCAACCTTCGATTCATGTCGCAAATGGGAATCTGTAGCTTTTTGAGGGGAAGAGGGGCCATTCAAAATTCTAATAAATGTTTTGCATATTCGTGGCCGCATGTTAACGTGCATGAAATTGGGTGGAACTGGAGCGAAGAGAGCGGCCTCGTACCTTGACGCGGCTGTTTTGCATCGTGACCTGAGAAACCCTGTCTGAAGGCATTTCAAAAAGCCTCTGCGTCAGTCTCTGTCTGCAGCCTCTCACATTCACACAATCCGGGAAAGTTGTTCATCTTAGACAACTGATCATTAAACTGCTTCTCTCGTTCTCCAGAAACCCTGCCCTGCATGTCAACCGGCTCATAGAGACAACTGTAATTTATGCCACAGCACCACCAAGTGGCCATGTTGTAAGACCAGCGTTTCCCAACCTTTTTTGTCTTACAATACGATCACAAAACAAAATAAAATAAAATAGTAAAATGGTGGTGTGAACGTGAAAGACAATGTAATTTTTACTGATATCAATGAGAAGATGACTAAAGAAATCTGGAGTCCAAGTGTCTGCAAATGTCATTCACACAAATTGACAACTTACATTGCTTTGTTTTGTTTGAAAAATAATTGAATGCAATAAAATGGCAAAGATGAAATGTGCACTTAAATGTTGTTAAGCAGGTATCCTGATCGCCATCCTTCAAAAAACAAATAAAAACTTCACATTCATCACAACTGTTTAATTATTTTAATCATTTGACAGCTAATATGCATTTTTTTATTTTAAGTTGTAATTTCTTTTTATAGTTATAACAAGTAAACCAAAATGTAGTTATTTCAGAAATTATTTTAATCTTTTGACAGCTATTTTTAAAGTTGTAATTTCTTTTTATAGGTTTACACGTAAATCCAAAATTAGAGAAAAGACCAATTTTTTTTTTTTATTTAAAATGTTTATAGGGTTAACAGGTAAAAAAAATTAATAAAAAGGTACTTTTTCAGAACTTTGAAGGGGGGAAATCATGAAATTAATCTCAAATAATTATTTTAATCTATTGGCCTTTGTATTTTTTATTGTCATTTCTTTTTATAATTTTAATAAATAAAACCAAATTATTTTAGAACTTCAAAGAAAATCACGAAATTAATTACAATTAATTATCTTAATCTTTCAACAGGTAATATATATATATATATAAATGTTTTTTTTGTTTGTTTTTTTTAAGTTTTCATTTCTTGTTATATGTTAAATGAGTAAAATTAAATGTAGTTATTTCAGAGTTTCAAATAAGATAATCATGAAATTAACCATAATGGTCACACTTTATTTTAAAGTCCATTTCTCACTATTTACTAGCTATTAACTACGACTTTTGCCTCAAACTCCTAATTACTGCTTATTAATAGTTAATAAGGTAGTTGTTAAGTTTAGATATTGGGTAGGATTAGGGGTGTAGAATATGGTCAAGCAGAATATGTGCTTTATAAGTACTAAAAAACAGCAATATGCATGCATATAAGCAAGTGAGACTTGGTCCCTTTACTGAAGTCTTACCACCATAATTAATCTATGGACAGCTAGTATGTTTTTGTTTTTTTTAAGTTTTACCATTTTATCAAGTTTTAATTAATCTCGTTTTATAGGTTTAACAAACAAACTTGAAATTTGCTCAATACTTTTTTAGTATGTGTACCCCTTGTTGGATTTTACTGTTTAAAAAAAACTAGAAGCAGTGACACCATAACCTTGAGTTGTATATGTACACACTGATCTGCTTACAAGACACGATTAGCCATCAAACAGTGAAAAATGAAAGAGAAAATCTGCTAAGCAGGAAATTTAATGACCACAATAGCAGTTAACTATCAGGGTTGATGACTGAAAGGATGCAGGTTTAATCCATGAACTATGAGCAGGCTCAGATGGAGTTGGCTGACTGGGCTGACCTGTCGCTGCAGGAGTTCCTCTGAGACGTCGCCTCCCTGAATGACTGGCTTCAACACACCCAGAATAATGAGCAGACGACTCAAACCTGCAGCTGCAGAGAACTGCATCATCTGCAGGGACGGGACGAGGTGAGAGTACCTGTAAAAATATACAAACATAAGATTTCAAAGGGGTCATAACATGAAAAATCTGATTTTCCTGTGAATTGCAGTTCATATATCCCATTCCAAAAAGACCATTTATTCAAACCGGTTCGAAGGGTCACAATGAGGAGATGTTGAAGGCCAGAACACTGGACCCAGAGACACAGCGGTACAGTGTGCTGTATGAATCAGTGACAGGCGTCTGCTGTGATGAACTGCATTAATTGAGCGGTCATTACCCACGCATGAAGGACTAAATGACTCCTCACTGCGCTGTCTAATGCGTCACAATGACAGCTCATTTATGAAGAATGAATCAATGACACAGAAACACTGATCAACACTCTTGTGAAGAATATTTAGACACGTTTAGAACACTTCACACATGATAAAACACTTCTGCTGATACTCTGGAGCTTGCTGGATGGTTGCTAGGGAGTTGCTAGGGTATTATGGGCTTGCTGACTGCTCCAAGTCAAAATCTGTCTATTTTTTTGTATGTTTTTTATCATCCAGCAGGCATAAATCTAGTTAGTCTGATCGCTTAGAAAAATAATAGAATGACTCTCCTCAAAACCCAAGTGATTTGACAGACAAATTACAAAATACTATAAAAAATTAAATGTGTGAACTCTTAAAAGCAAGTTCTTTTTTTTTTATGCACATGTGGTTTCATCAGATATCATCTCATTTGAACAATGAGCAAAGAACACAGCGAGCATCATGTTTCCGATTCGCAAAAAAAGTACTCTTATGAACCGTTTTTTTTTTTTCCAATGAGCCTTGAATTTTTACTTTTATTAAAACACTTCAAATAAGAAACAGGAATTATCATGGTTAAACACACACACACAAATCCAAGCAGCATATTAAATTACAAAACAAAATTTCATAAAACAAAAACACAAAAAATTACAAATAATACATACCATATATAAAGTCAAATTATACATAAATTAAACTTGTGGTTTAATCAGTATATATTGCAAATAATTCCGTTTTAAGGCATTTAAGGTTTTTCAGCTGCTTTAAAAATGGAAATAAAATGTTAATTTTTAACACCATTTTTAAAAGCCATATAACTTGCCTGTATTCAAAATAATATTACACAAAAATTCAACCTACTTGCTCCCGAGTTAGCAGTTTGAATCAGACTCACTCAGTGAATCATTCAGAACCATTACTGACATCCAGACTGAACCACAAGTCATTTATCGGTTACATCCAACTTATATCACACTGTTTTCTTACTGTTTGGTCATATTAAATTACAACTCAAATTAATTTGACTCCTAAATGTTTCTTTAGGAAACACTGCATTATGAGTTGTGTGCTTTCAATACTTACATTCAAGGTTTGTTTAAATAGTTGGCTAATAGTTATGCACCACTTTTGACCAATAACCACGAAAAATGGTCCAAAACCACTGATTGGCTGCGTAGGAATATTCTGAAATACCCTAGAAAAAAATACACATCCAAATGTTCTGACCTTCCATCAAAAGTTTAGCATTGAAAGTTTAAGACTGAGAGTTTGTGCTCATCTTTTTAAATATTCTTTTCCATGTCATTTTACCACTTTTTCATCAAACCGCTCTTCTCTGACACCTTTTCATCTGTCAGCATTTCCCCCAAAACATGGCCCGTATCGAGCCTGACAATTTGACTCGGAGTCAAATCAGTCCGTTCGCTCTTACATTTTATTTCCACCTGTCCTATTCTCTCCATTTCGTCATTCTATCAATTCCTCCGGTGCTAATTCTGCCCGGCAGGTCTGGATTATGCGCAGGAAGGCATGCGTTTCAAAGGGAACTTTAGCGAGGGTAAAGACAGTCCAGATAGGAGGATGAATTAAACAGATAACAGCAGGCAGATGGAGTGAGGAAGTCGTGTCAAGCAAAACGCCTCACCAATGTTGGTCATTTTCCCTTCCGTTCTCTCTCTCTCTCTACTTCCCCCCTCCTTAAGCATGACAGAAAACTATCTAAATGAATAAAAAAGTGATGAAATGACTTTGGTGCCGTAGACTTTCTGCTCTTTGACTTCCCATCTGGATTAGTGCAGGCTGAATGGAGTCTGTTTCTTTTGAAAGAACTAACACATGAGTCTGTCTGAATGTTTCTCTCTCTTTGACACACACACACATTCTGTGCTTGATAAGAGTCCATCTGAATTTGCATGGTAAATTATGTCCTGTACGACCACTAGAGCTGCCCAGATGGACTGCTCAACAAAAAGACGAGAGAAGCTTATGACAAACAAATCATTCAGCTGACTATTTGCCATGATTCAAATGGATATGACTGCCGGCCTAATACAAACTTTTTATTGCTGTATTATCTTGTTCATATATTACATTTTGATTTGTCTGAAATGGGCATTTTTACATAGCAAAAGCAGTGCAATTCAACTGAACAAAACACAGTGAATACCTATAAATGTTAAAGATGAAATGTGCAATTCTGTGCCACTGCCATAACCAAATAAATTTGCAAAAACAATCCAACATTGGTTGATCAAACAGATATGGAAAACACACCATTCTTAAATGTTTAGGTGGTTAAAGGATTATGCAATGCAATGACAATATTTGTAATAAACTGAATTTTTGAATTGTTTTTAAAACCAGCCTAACCTTGTCTGCTGGTCTGGTTTTAGAACGATTTGGAGAACTTTCCAGTCTGCCAGAGACCACCTTAAACCAGCATAAAGACCAGAAAACAAACTTAGGTTTATTACATTTTTTTTTTTTTCAGCAGGATTTATTGTACTTATTTTGTGATTTTTATAATAACTCAATGTATTAGAAGTGTCTGGAGTCATTATGGAAAGATGAAGGAAAAAAAACAAAAATAATAAAGTTGTCCCAGGTCGCATGAATTTATGACTTTGACTACAGTAAACAACAAATTTGATTCTTCCTTATCTCGTGACTCACATGACTCACAAGTATGAGAATGGAACTGTTTTTAATGTAAAGTAAGTATCTAGGCTAGAGTTGAGAAGCTCAATTCATTTCCGGGAAGTTCAAACTGTCTATTTCAATAAATCGACTTGACTAGGCTACTTGTTGGCTTTATCACTCAAAAATGCTCACAAAAGTCCTCATCAGACAGTTTTCTTGTATTAAAATATTCAAAAATGGCATATGTAAAATTAGTTTAAAAAAATTATTAAAACAAATTAAAAGCAATAAACATTAAAAGCATTAGAATTATATTAAAATAGATTTTTACTATTAGTTCCTGCATTAAACATTTTGAATCTCCTTGACAAAAATGGCCGTTTGGTTGAAATAATGCTTACTTTTAAGCTATTTCAGAAAATTGCACAAAGCAACTGGATAACAACTATAGTTGAGACTTAATGCCAACTGTGTATAAAGCCACTAAATATACACTGCTGTTCAAAAGTTTTTTAAAAGATTCAAAAGATTTTTAATGTGTTTTAAAGAAGTCTCTTCTGCTCATCAAGGCTGCATTTATTTGACCAAAAATACATTAAAAAAAAAAACAGTAATATTGTAAAATATTATTACCATCTATTATCAATGTTGGAAACAGTTGTGGCAGCAGACTGAAGAAGCTGTGTGTCGGGTGGGTGGGATCACCTTTAAACCATTACTGTTTTGTTCTGTATTTCTGATCAAATAAATGCAGTCATGATGAGCAGAAGAGACTTCTTTAAGAAAAAACAAAAAAACATTACAAATATTACTGATCCCAAACGTTTGAACAGCAGTCAGTGTACAGTAGAGAAGCTCTGAGGTCGAGAGGTCTTTCTGAAAGTGGCCAGTAGGGGGCGGTCACGTCTCACTGTGAGTGAACACTAACGGCTGTAAACACAGCAAGGCTAATGTGGCCTTCCTTCATTACTGATGACTGACAGTACTTGCTCCAGCACTAGAAGCTCTAATTACTGATAATTGTCATTACTGGAGCCAGACCAATGTAATTCCAGAGGGATTTCTCACTTTACTGCAGAAGAAATGAAAGAAAAGCTACACAAATGTTACAGGCAAGGCCAGCAATTTTCCCAGTATGATTTTCAATCAGTACACATATATGTATGAAGTCACACTTCAGAGAAACTGACTGACTGCTTGATTGATTTGTCCCATTGATTCTTGTATTTCAGAGGTGTCTGTGAGAGGAAGATCATGTGATGAAGGCATCCTGCACCTCAGTCCTGCAGGGTCTCGAACCGCTTTAGCCCCTCTAAAGGTTAAATCTCTGGAGGTCAGCAATTGCCGTGCTGTGTTAGTTGCTAGTATGCATTCCACTAGATTCCAACACTACCAGGGAGATGTCACAAGACATCAACTGCTAATTTGCATAAACTACTCAACTCTGTCACATTAGTCAATATTCACTTAATGTTTCCTCTGGGTGCCTCAAATGGCCTAGTTATAAACAAATGGTCACTTAAATTAATTCACTGGCATTAAACACAATAAGAACAGTATTTTTTTTTTCTGGCAGGTAACTCCAAGTACGAGCTTTGAATCTTAAAACATCCACATATATCCATTTTCCACCAAAATGCTTAGTCTTGTTTACAAGTCTAAGAACATATTCTAATATTCTGAGTAATTTAATTCAGTGTCTTTATGCCACCAAAAGATGCTGCTGATGCAACCATCAGTCTAGTTGTGCAGTTAGTAGAGACATGTCCCAACAGACTAAAGGCTGTAATTAAAGCAAAAGGTGGTTCAGCAAAATACCGACACAAGGAGGTGATCCTTTTTCCAACTTAGTGATTCTGTTTTTTAATGTGTTTTAAAGAAGTCTCTTCTGCTCATCAAGGCTGCATTTATTTGACCAAAAATACATTAAAAAAAAAAACAGTAATATTGTAAAATATTATTACCATCTATTATCAATGTTGGAAACAGTTGTGCAGCTTAATATGTTTTTGGAAACTGTGATACTTTTTTCAGGATTATTTGATTAATAATGTTAAAAAGAACAGCATTTATTTAAAATAGAAATATTTT